CCATGTGTGCCTTGGCCTCTCCCAAGGGCCAGCCTCTTCCTGGTAGTGCTTTGTGTACTTGTCTGGTTGGGACTTTGTATTTCTTTCTTGGGACTGTTGTTTGGGACTGCAGGTAGGATGTGAGTTTACTTCTACTGTGAGGAGCAACGGGGTGGAGATCTGGATGGAGTGAGAGAGCATACTGGGATGGTGACATTATCTAGATGGCTGGCAGGTGTGGGGCTGTGGAGAGAGGTGGGAGTGCAAAGTTAGTGCTGAGTGGGGTTGGAACACCTCCCAGCACAAGCTCTTCTGCAAACCCCCTTCCCCTAACCCGCCTACCACCCAGCAGTCCTCTCTCTCACTTGATTTGTCTACCCAGTCTCCTTGTGCTCATCTTCTCTGGGTCTCTTGTTCCCGTTCCTTTTGGCCTGTGTCTGACTTTCACCCTGCCTCTGTCCTTCTCCTCCCCTCCACCCACCACCCACCTTGTCCTGGCTCCATTTCTAGCCCCTCCTTGCCGCTGATCAGACTCCCTGTCCTCCACCAGGGCCAGAGCTGGCTGAGCCTGAGGGAGGCTCGCTCTGAGGAGGACTCCTGGGTCCCCAAAAGGGAGCCCAGGGAACTCGGAGTCTGGACTGGGAGGACTAGGGAGTGCGCTGCGAAGCTGGGGAGAGGAACTGGAAGGAGTGGTAGAGAGATGAAGGGGCTAGGAGAGAGGCGGCCGGCCATCAGGCTCTGGGGCCATCTAGGTTGGGCTGCTGGGGACAGGAGCCCAGAGGGTGCCAGAGAGAAGCTGCGGTTGGCGGGGTGAAAAGAGCGAGTCTGGCTGGACAGGTGAGCCCTGCTCCCTTCCCCCATCCGAGCTCCCGCTGCAGGGCTCGGCGCCGGGCCTGTGGGAACCTGCTCTGTCCTCTGTGTCCTGGGGCTGCTCTTCGTTGCCTCTCTCTCCAGGAACCGAGCCCAGAAGTAGGGAGGGGGCCATCCCCTCGTGGGGCCTGCTGGTGGGGGAGGTCCTGAGCGGCGCTGCAGCCGGACCCGGGGCCTGGGTGTTGGTTGTTCTCATTTGCGGGGAACACAGGAGTGGGCTGTGAGTGGGGGGCTGGGCCCGGAGCGGGCAGGGCGCGGCGACCTGGGCTTCCCGGGAGAGTGCGCGGCGCGCGGAGGGGACCGCGGCTGGTTACCTGGGGAAGGCCGGACGCGCGGGGGAATGCGGTGGGCGTGGCGGGGCGGAGGGGAGCACGGCCGGAGGGCGGCGCTGGGCGTGGGAGC